CCTGGGATGTGTTTCCTTCCAGCTATGAACCAGCCCATGAGCTGTTGCCCCCACTCTGGCACTGGGCAGCTAGCCTCCTGAGCTGGATTTGATCCGGCCACCCCCTGGCGAAGAGCAGCAGAATGGGACAAGGAGGAGCAGGCTGTTTATGCCAATGAAACGGAGGAGGGGAGGGAGGGAGCAAATGAATCTGTGACACCCCTTCGGTGCAGGAAACAGAGAGCAAAGCTGGCCTGGCTCCAGTGAAGAGACTTCTTAACAAATCCTTGGGTATCATAGGCAGTCAGTGGCTCATTGAAATGGATGGGGCTGTCAGCCCCAATACACACGCAGCTCCATCAGTGCCTGCCAGTTCGAGGTAGGGGGCAGAGCTTCTCTTTCGGCCTAGGGGATCAGAGCCCAGGGAGAGGAGAAGGTGAGATGGAGATTGGGGCAAAGTACCTAACCCTCAAACACATAGCCCCAGGGTCACAAAGGTGCCTGAAATAACCAACAAGCCATTAACTGCCCTACAGCATCTCAAAGGTTCTTGTAAGACAGGGATCCCTCGCCCAGTGCAGAGATGCACCCACCTTTGGGGAGGGGCATGGGGGGCTGTTTATACAGGAATCCCTCACCTGGCACTAGATGCAGCCACCTCTGGGATGGGGCAGAGAGTTTAATTACTCCATGGATCTTTAATGAACAAAAGTGGGCAGGTTGTTTTTACAGCCAGTCAAAGTTGGAAACTTCAGCAGTGCAGCAGCCCTTAGTGCCGTTCTGGGGAACTGGGGTCAGCGCTGACTGCAAAGGGAGAGCACCTCCTATTGAGTGCTGAGTGTGGGGAAAGCTCCCAGATGCTGCAGCCCCAGCCTCTCCTAGCACGGGGCGCCATAGGGAGTGGGGTGGAGCACTGGCTGGCGGGGAGCTCCCAGCTTCTCCAGCCCCAGCCTCTCCCAGTAGGCGGTGTTGGAGGCTGTCAGTGCAGAGATAAAATGTCCCCAAAGCAAAGCCCAGACAATGACTATTTAACAATAGGGGAGTTTGGGGAAGGAGGGGTGGGGGATAAATGAGCCTTCAGCTCCTGCGATGTGTGAGCGATGCCCAGGGCAGCTCCTGCGCTGTAGACCCATTAATCCAGCTGGCAGCGCGGACGGAGCCTGTCCCCTCGTGCCCCATGCCCAGCACTAGCGAGGCTGTCACATCAGGCCTGCAGCCCCCATCCATCGCAGTGCAGGGTGGAAACTCCAGCCCTCACTGGGGCCCCCAGGTGGGGGTCGGCAGCACAGAGTGGGCGAAGGGAGGACAAATTGGTGCGGGGATGAGAAATGGCCCCCAGTAGCACTGGGACAGAGACATCAGGGGTTCAGATCCGGGACTCAGTTCTGCAGCGTGCCCCATGAACTCCTCCTCTACCCATCCATCCATCCCAAACACACCCTCCACCACTCCTCCATCTACCCCCTCCCCGTCCATCCATGCCCCATACTGCCCCCTCTCCACTTCCCAGTCCTTCATACTCCTCCTCTATCCACCCGACCCCCCTCCACCATCACCTCCGTCCTACTCCTCTAACCACCCACCCTTCACCACTCCTCTATCCTACTCCTCTATCCACCCCCACCATCCACCCCCCATACTTTCCCCTATTCACGCTCACCCACCCACTCCTTCATACTCTTCCTCTATCCACCCCCCCATCCACACCCTGTACTACCCCTCTATCCACCCCCACTCACTCACTCCCTTCTACTCACACTCTATCCACCCCACACCCCTTCATCCACCCACGCACCCCTCATACTCCTCCTCTATTCACCCCATCCCCTCCATCCATCCATTCTTTCCTCTGCTCCCCTCTTTCATTCCCTGTCTAGGGGGTCAATATCATCTCCCCATTTTACAGATGGAGAAACCTGAAGCACAGGGAGATTAAAGTGACTGAAGCCAAGGTCATAGTGACAGTTTATGGCAGAGTGAGGAATAGAACCAGGAGTCCTTGCTCCCAGCCCCCTGCTCTAACCATTAGACACCTCTCCCTTCCCAGAGCTGGGATAGAACCCAGGAGTCCCGCCTCCTAGCCCTGCCCCCCAACCACGAGACCCAGGAGGACTAGTGAGCAAACACCATGGGATGATTACAACTCCTCGTGTCCCCCACCCACCCAGCCACCTGCTGGAGAGATTGTCAAGATGAAAACCACATTGGCAAAATGCAGCTCCTGCACTGGGCTAACAGCCCCCTGCAGCGGGAGGGGGGCAGACCCCCACCTGGCCCCTGCACACCTCGCCCTGCTGGTCTCTGCCCTTTGCATGCTCACACTAGCAAACCACCTCCTCGCTTTCTCTTTACAGTCCTGGGTTTTCACGTGCTCGCACACGCAGTGCAAGGCCTGGTCACGCTCACGACTGCCTCCGTTCACATCCTGTTCTGGGTTCCATGACCCCCCCCCCCACAGTGAAACGTGCCAGGGCACTTACATGTTCTTGGCATGTTCACACTTGTTCTTGGTGGTCACATGCTTGCACAAACGGAGACAGCTGATCACTTTTACTTTCCTTTCAAATCCCTCTCCCGTCTGGATAGTCACACCCAAACCGTGCTAGGCACCCCTCCCTTTTCTAATCACACCCACCCCGGTTTCCACATGCTTGCAAAGAGAGAGCAAGCTGGTTGGCTTTCTGTCCCGTTTAAGCCCCTTTCACATTCTGCAGCACCCATTGCACACACCCTGTGAAGGGGCCCGGTCACTTTCTAGCCATTTTTCACACTCAGACTTTCACATCCTTGCACAAAAAGTGAAGCATTCCAGCTGGCTTTTGCCAGTTTCACCTCCTTGCACATTTGGGGTTCCCCAAGATCACTGCATCCCAAAAAAGAATCTTTTTATTTACTGACATTAGCAATGAGGATCTAGCACAAGATACACCCACACACAACCCCCCTCTGGTGCTGTCCCACCCACTGCAGCTCCCAGCATTTCAGGGGCAGCCACTCACAAAAGCAACAGGTGCCTGGATTTAGTTGTTTAATCATCCTCCAAAGCTGTCAATCATTTAAAACAATGGCACCCCTACCCCCAAAACAGTGCTCAGAATACATAGCACCAACCCCGAGACACCCCAGCCCACAACATGTGATGCCATGGGAGTGAGTCAAAATCAAACCAGCAAATACAGAGCAGGGGTCACGCCCTCCAGCCGGAGGCAGAACACACTGCCACACCCACACCCCTCAGGGCTCATTCTCTCCAGCTGGGGGCAGTGCACATGCAGAGCAGGGCTCCCCCACTCCAGCAGGGGGCAGAACACACACCCCTTAGGGCTCAGGCAGCAGGGACATGCAATTCATTCCTTGCACGATTCACACTAGATTCTATTCCTTAACCCAGGCTTTGTTTTTGTCCCCAGCCCCTGCCCTCATACCCGTGACCAACTCTCCATGGCTCCCCTTTAGACTCCCAGAAGTTATTTCCCCTCTCACACAGATGCACAATGCCCAGTGCAGAGGGCGTGGGGGGACGATGGAATTCCAGAGGGAGAGGATGCTGCAGAGGACAGGAATTCCTGGGGGCTCGTCAGATGCCCTGGTGATGGGCTTGGGCCAAGAGCACAGCTAGGACACTCCACACTCCAATGCCCACTATGCAGTGCCAATGAGAATCACTCACACATGCCCCACCCCCATTACCAGTGGAGAGAGCTCCCGCCACCACCCACCCAGCTGGGTGTCCCTCCCCATAGCCTGGATCCCAGCCCCATTCCCCATGCCAGGATCTGCTTCGGGGGGGGGGGGAGGGGGGGCGTGGCTGTGGGGAATGGATCAGTCCCCTGGGCCCAGCTGCTGGGCAATGCTGAGAAGCCGTCACAGGAGGCATCTCCAAGGTGTGGACTCAATTCACTGGCCAACTCTCACAATCCATGGAGCTGCCCCACAGCCCTGAGCCAACATATACAGGTTTGTCTCATCTTACGCAGGGGTTCCGTTCCGCGGTTAGCGCGTAAAGCGAAAACCGCGTATAGCCAAAATCCCATTGAATTCAATGGCGGGCGAAATCGCCCGCACTACAGGTATAATATTAAAATTGTTATTTTTCTCTTTTTTGTTATTTTTTTTTTGTTTGTTTTTGCCGACCGCGTAAAGTTGAAATCACGCATGTTAAATGCGCGGAAGATGCGACAGACCTGTAGATCCAGAGCCAGCACTCGGATCCAGCCCCACAGACCTGCATCAGCCCACAGACTCCGCTCCAGAGACCCACCCCACAGAACTGAACCAGACCATGGACCCTGCCCCACAGACTCACCTCACAGAGCTAAACCAGACCACAGCTCCAGTCCCATGGACCCACCCCAACTGATCCACCCCACAGGGCTTAACTAACCCACAGATCCAGCCCCATGGACCCACCCCACAGAGCTGAACCAGACCAAGGACCCAGCCTCATGGGCAGAGCCCATAGTGCCCACCTGTCCTACAGTGCCAACCAGCCCCTGGCACTAACATGGCCCACAGCTCTGACACAACCTGCGCAGAAGCCCTGGCACACAGATCCACCCCCTGGTATCCTTCCAGTTTCTGGACCCAGCCAATGGGCTCAATGTGGGCCCATGACCCAGGCCCACAGACCCAGCCCAGGGCACCCCCAAATTTCATCAGTTCAGGGGTGTCCCAGAGACCAGTCAAACCACAGTCCCCAGCCAGGCAAAAGCCAATGCCCCACGTGAGTGCTCCTCTGGCCTCCTGATGCTCCCAGCTCATGTCACCCCCCGTATGATCATCCTCCTCCTGTCCATCCCCTAGCTGGGCACATGGCACCCCCAGTCCTAGCACGCTCCCCCCGATGCTCCAGACTCGCAGAATCACAGCGTGAGTGCCCCACCCTTCTTCCTGCAGTCCCCCACCTTGCGGCCCCCCCGCGCCACCCTCCCCCCCCCTCCTATCCCCCATCCCGGCATGCAGCTCCCCCTGCGGGATCCTTCCCCATCCCCCAGCCAGGCATGCTGGGCCCCAGCACTCACGGTCGTTGCACACGGGGCCACCATACGAGGTCATGGTGCAGTCACACGTGTAGCCGTCCCACTGCTGCAGGCAGACGCCCTGGTTGGCGCAAGAGTCCTCGGTGCACGTGGTGCTGGGCCCTGGGGGCAAGAGGTAGGGATGGGGGTTACTGGCCTGGCTCCCCCAGCCCTTCGGGACAGGGCTGGGGGTCATAAACCCCCATGAGCAGAGTGGAAAAAAGCAGGTGAGAGAGAGGAGGGGACCTGCAACGAGTCAGGGGCAGAGCTGGGGATAGACCCCCCTGCGCCCTCCACGTTCTAACCCGCAGACCCCATTCCCCTCCCAGAGCTGGGTAGCATCCAGGTGCCCAGGAGTGTTACACCAGGGTGGGGGAAGGAGGCAGGAATGGCAGGTGAGGAGCTGGAGCCGGTAGGGGAGATGGGGGGAGTCCCTGGCAGCCTCCACCCATATCCCACTGCTGACGCGAGGCAGCATCTGAGGAGACATAACGCTCATGGCTGGGAGCTGGCAGCTAATGAAGGTGTCTGCATCTCTCTGGTCCTCCCCACAGCCCCCCATCACGGGGCAAGCGTCCCCCACAGGGGGAATGGGCTGCGCTGGAAGCAGGCTGGTTTCCGAGGCGCAATCCCCATTATCAGCAGGAGAGGAGACGGGGGCACTAGGAACAGGGAGACCTGGATAGTCTGAGCCTACAGCGCCCCCTCGGAGGCCAGGCCAGAGGAGGGAGCGCCCCCCCGAGTCAGTGCTCCTGCCTGCTCCCCACAGCGCCCCGTGCTGGGCGAGGCCGGGCCGGAGGAGGGAGCTCCTACCCCCAAGTCAGTGCTCCTGCCTGCTCCCCACAGCGCTCCCTGCTGGGCAAGGCTGGGCCGGAGGAAGGTGGGCTCTGGGCAGCAGGGGGACTCTTACCATCGCAGCCCCTCTCGACTTGCCCGATCCGGTGCAGGGCGTCAGCGATGAGGTCGGGCAGGCGGCCGTTGAGGTCCACGGAGGCCAGGCAGCCTTGGAAGCCATCCCGCGAGGCCACCAGCTTGGGCAGGTTGTTGAACATGTTCTTGCTCAGCCCCCCGATGTACAGCTCTCCTGGGGAGGGCACGAGACATGTCAGCGGGCAAAGGGTCCTTTAGCCCCCCGCACGCCACAGGGTTGCCCCACCACCTTCCCCTCCTCTGAACAGACCTGGCCAAGGGAGGAGCTAAAGCCCCCACATCCCCCATTGGTCCATGTGCCCCTGCCCCGGCTGTCCCCACAACCCGTGCCCTGGGGATGGGGGAGCAAAGGAATCCAGACTCCATGAAAAGGGACCGCAGATGGGGTAGGTACCCAGAGATGGGTCTGAACAACCCCCCCTGAGCGGCTATGCAGGGGAAGAGTAAGTCCCATCCCTCCCCAGCCAGGATGGAACTAGCAGCTGGAGCCGGGGCCCATTAGGAGCCCCTGGCTAGGTGCCCCCAGCCCTGCCCCTCCCCTAGCTAGATTTCACAGTGGAGGTCTGATTTCACGGTCTGTGACACATTTCTCATGTCCGTGAATTTGGTAGGGCCCTACCCATGAGCCCCCCAGTGCCCCAATCAACACCCCTTCTCCCCCCCATCAGCCCAGCACAGCTTCCACCCCATGAGCCCCCAGTGCCCC